TGGGTCTGGGGCGCAGTCTGGCTGCTGGCCCCGGTGGGGGAGGGTTTTCTGGGTCTGAGAGGGGCGGGGAGATGGGCAGTGGCAACTGCTGCAGCAGTGGCTGTGGTGACAGCAGAGAGACAGATGGGGGAGGAGTTTCAATCTCAGGGGCAGTGGTGAGGAAGCTTGAACAGTCATAAGGAGGCAGAAAGACAATATCTTCCTCCATGTCTCCTTTAAATATTAGAGGAGCAGTGCATCGTTTCTTTGGCTTCCTGTGTGAGCCTCCAGATGAAGTGGCAAAAACCTTTGCCTGGCTCTGTTTGCTAAGGATGAATCACACCCAAGGCAGGGGATTTTGGGCAATTTCAAGCCAGGAGTTGATGTATGGAAATTTATCATGGTGGCCTGTGTTCCCAGTGACTATTAGCCACACCCGCTGCACTATTTGAGCACCTAATGCCCCTTTTGGGGGCCATCCTACATTGAATATGGGCCATTCTAGTTCACAAAAGTTCCTTAACTTCCTGGGTGTCATTTTCACCCCATAAGCACCTGAAAATCCCTTTTTAAAACATTTGAGCATGACATCTAAAATCACAGGTTTACTCTGTTTTGATCCCATTATTAATTTCTTTCTCATGTTTAGTGTCACAACGACAGACAAAGGGAGGGTATCCCCTTGGATGAGAGAACCAATCAGATACTCCACTGGTCCCATTTCTGAGGGAAACTTTAGGTGAGGTTTGGCTGCTGTGGACTCAGCCTTGTGACTTGCAATCAGAGTCTGATCCGATACTGCCCTAGACCTTATACGCTCACCATGACACAGGAGAGCCCATTCAGATTATGTAGACTTTTGGGGACCTTAAGAGTGCCTGCCTGTGAAGCCAGAAACTCGAACTCGACTGGCAAGCCTGGCTGAGCTGTACATTCACATGCACACACACACCAGAGTCTATTACATTCCCTCCTGCAAAATTTTCTACCTGTGAGACTATTAAGGCCTCTGGGGATTGATTAGGTCCCCCTTCCACCCTTTTGGGTAGGCCTGACTATTTTGAGGTCCCGACCTTACCGGTTCTGACATCGGGTCCAGGTCCTCACCTTCCAGGTCTCTTTGAGTCTGGTGGGAACAATGGAGCAGGGCCGACCTGAGGTGACTGAGTAGGAGACTGCTGAAATTCAGGCAGGACGCGTCTTCTCCCTTGTGATCCCTTGCTCTGTCACTGCCTAGCCATTCTTCCAAACCAGTGGCAACAATGGGCCAGTGCGGTTGGGTTTCCCAGTCAGGGAACCAAATACGGTACGGAACCAGGATGGAACACTGGCAGAAAAACCAGGCAGCACTCAAAAATCTTGGTCAATTGGAGATTTATTTAACACTGGTGGGCTCAGAGGAGACTGTTTTTCCAAAGATCTGAGCTCCAAATGCAAGTGGGGAGGGTAATTTATAGCTGTCAGCTTCCATATCTGTGGGGATTTTTGTGCATGCAGCAAACAAAGGAAGAAGAACACAGAGGAGGGGTCTCTAAGCTAGAGACCAGAGTTTGTTTGCACCCCATCGGCCATCTTTGGCATACTTTATTCACCTATCCAACAGTAAAATGGGCATTTGAGGCATGGAGGTCACTATAATGAATATATAATTCACCATGTAACAAATACCTTGTCCTCTTTACAGAATACAGTAACTATACAGTAGCATGGCACTATGCAGGCATTTTAACATTACAGGCATTTAAAGATTGAAAGAACCAGAATGAGCCTCAGCAATACCAGCATCAGAATCCAAATTTGTCCAACCTACTTTAAAAGGCAGTGTATGGGCAGGAAGCAGTTCCAGAGAAAAGACAAACAAACAAACAAACAAACAAACAAACAAACAAAAAACCCACAAAAATTGAAGATCTCATTTATAACTACAAGAGCAAAGCAAACTCCAGATAGTTGTGACTCATAGACATAGTTACATCTATGTTGTATAATGCTAATTTATAGAGAAAGACCTAATGGCATTTTTTCCATCATTAAAATTATCATCCAATATTTGAAATTCTCTAACAGAATGTGTCAGTCTGAAGAGAGAAAAAAAAAAAAACCTCACATTTTCCCACACTAACCTGAAATGAAGTCAAGTGATGTATTCTTGATAGGTGAAATTTGTCTTTCAACAATGTCATTACAGCATGGTAAGATTAATAAATATATTTTCAACTTTTCAATCATTGTGTCAGAAGAAAATGGGCACATGTCTAGGAAAGATAAAGAAGGCTGGAAGCTGATCTGATCACAGAAAATCAGAGGTTAATTCTGTATTCTCTTAAAATTATTTCCCAGAATTTGTTTTGTGACTTCTAATTAATAAGACAAATATGAGGATATTTCTAGGGATTGAAAAAGAAATGCGTTACTGTTCATGCTTTTCCTCAGTTCCAACTCTAAGAACACAAGTGAAAATGCCATTTCTCTGTTGTAGGGATGATGTATTTCAAAACCTGGACTCCTTCCACAATATTATTAAAGTTCTTTGAAGCGTTGCTACTAGGAAAAAAATGTCAAAAGAACTCATGTTATTTATTGTTTCTCAAATCCACTGCTATTTCAGGTTGTGCCTAAGCTAACCAGTTGGTTTTATCTTGGAAGCCACTGGCACAGTAGAGCACTATAACGTGTGTACATAAAAGGTATTAGTAGACCCAGGTAGTAAAAACTTGATTCCAAACTTCAGTGGCTCTGAAAAGGAGACTCAGGATTTTAAAACA